ATTGTGTGATGTATGTACCTAAAACATGCTTCGTGCAATGTATATTTTAATACATATACTTTAGGAAACACTTACAAGCGTCGCGCTACGCCGGACGCGAACCCCATTTAAACTCTTATTTCATATCAAAGTTTTAGAATTAAATATTATAAATCTAAGAATAATGTCTTTGGAGTATTAATATAAGTGCGATAATATCCGATTCCAACATACGAGTTGTATTAGGCTATACAGTGCTTTGAAATTCCATTGACATATATTTTCTGCATAGTAACTGTCGTAACTGTATAACCAATGAAATTTTCGACTCGTTTAACATTTCCCATTTGCAAGACCATCTTAAGCTTCTCTCTCCATCTCCCTCTTACACTCTCTCTCACACTCTCCTCTCTCTTGCCCCTCTCTTGCTCTGGTCTATTCTGTACCTCTCACTCTTCCCTCATACCATACTCCTCTCTCTCCCTCTCTCTCTCCCTCCCACTTCGTCCCTCTCTCCCTCTCTCCCTCTCTTCCCGAAAGCGCCATCGGCGCTACGCCCCACCCCACGCCCAGGATCCCCATGTCCCGAGGGGAATCTCCTCTGCTCGCCTAAGGGCCTCCGCATAGGAGGCCCCCCTAGCCAGCTTCACCGTTACCGCCGCGATACTAGGAAACCGTGGCCATTTCCTTCCCTGCAGAGAGGGTGCGGGGGCTGGGGGTGGTGGGGTTAGTCCCTCCGAGCCTTGTCCATCCACTCTCTCCCATCTCTTCTGTGCTCTCTTAGGGCGGGTGGTTCAGGGGCGGACAATGTTCATCCCTCCACCACTCTCCCACGTTTCCCATCCCTAGGTTGGGCAGGCCCGACCTTACCGACCAGCGGCCTATCCCCAGCCTCACCTGCTCCTTTCTTCCTCTTCTTCTTTCGGTGCTCGGCACACATCCATCCCTCTTCATCAGGGGGACCGTCGTAATGCACCTCAATGTTCCACCCTGGGGGCAAGGGGATTCTCGTCTGAGAAGACGCATCCGCCTTCATCGGCCCTTCAGGCCCAGAGATCCCCCACCACGCAATCCCTCATCCTTCCTCGTCCTTTTGGATTCCCACTTCCTGTCTCAGGTGTCTCTCGCTCGCTTCCTTTGTCATGACACTCTGAGATTTCCACTCCGGCTTTCGCTTACCTGCTTTAACGGCCTCCTGTAGCTCCTCTCGGCATCTGGCAAGCTGGCCCTGAAGTAGCCTAAGCTCCTCTCTCGCATCTGTCTCCGCTTTCTCCTTACCCTTCTTCCCTTTTTCCCATTCCTTTTCTCTTTTTTCTATCATTTCTGATAGATCCTTCCTATACCGTCTGCTATGCTCAGACTCAGTCTTGGTCTGAGACAGCTCCTCCCGACACTACCTTAGGTCCTTTCTAAGGGTGGCTCTCTCCTTGTGTAAATGCCTGGCCTCATTCGCAAGGCGCCAGACGAAATTCCTCGTCGTCTTCTTATAATCCTTCCATCTTTCTCCTGCTTCCTCATATCATTCATCTTCTCTTTCCACACCATTGATCATATCCTTTATGTCCTTCTCCATTTGATCCCTCCTCAGATCCCATAAGAACCACCCATCCATGGAGTAGAAGGCCGTCGTCGGAACCTCTGGATCCTCCTCCAGGAGAACCGTAGAGGCCGCCGATGTTTCAAGCTCAGCGGGTGCCACCACCGAGCCACTCGACGATCCCTCCCCATCTTTTTTCCTCCTCCTCTTCTTATCCTTCCGTGTATCAGTTACTTCAACCATTGGAGTTGAAACCCACCACTACTGAGGGCTCGACCGGCCGGGCATGCCCGCACCACCGAAAACATGACCCGGTGGTGTCCCCGAGTTCCCCCGGGGAACCGGTCTATACCTCTGAACCAGGAAGGACATCTGGTCTCTGGGTTCCAGCCCCCTACTTCCGCCCTGACCCCATCACTGGGGCCAGGCCGGTTTCAGGGGCCCCCTATCTCTGACCCCGGGTTACCTTCTGTAGCTCCGCCACGCGGAGGACCCCGTGGAAGGAGTTAGGTCACCGCCGTCGCATCCCGACGGGACCGCTCCCCCACGGCAGTCAGCCTAACGTCGTCGCCCGGTGGATGGGTTTAGGGATGATGCGATCCCCATCCACCGGGCATAACGGGGGGTCCCGGCCCCGACCTCGGAATACGTCTGAGCGGCCCGGAGACCCCCCACCATCCTGGGTACGATGAGGGATCCCAAGCCCTAACGGTGTGCAGACCCAGGTGTGACTCGCTCCCTCGGGCTGCCGGAGCACCGGCGTGCAATGCCCTCAGGAGCGCTCCCTACACCACACTAAAGGGGACTCAATCCACCCCTCGGGCTGCCGGAGCACCGGCGGGCAATGCCCTTGGGGTGGGAGGCCTCCCTCGTGAAAACGAGATCTTGAGTCGGGAATTCCGACTCAGAGGATCTCAAAACCTTCCCTGGGATGCTCTTAGCGGGCGTACCTTCCCACCGGGCCCTCCCTTCGGTTGGACCGGAGGTACTGCCCCAGTGGATCACGGGAACGCCCGAGCCCCTCCAACACGACAAGGTAGCATCCCTCGGAGGGGATGTTATGCACCTACATGGTACACCAACACCATCCTTTTAGAAAAAACATGAATTAGAAAACTGTCAGATTACTTAGGTACATAAACGTAAAAGGATGAGAATTTGTTTTTAAACAACTTATCTTCATAAATTAATGGAATTTTGAATATCAGTCTGTTTATCTCAGGTTTGCAGTTTATTAATTATTTGATATTATCAAACCTTTCTAAAAAAATTAATATTTTAACAGTTATAGCAACGTTGAGCGAACCGGTAAAAGGATGGATGGACAATTTTAATGGACCGGTAGCACTTTTCATCGGCGTTGGAAAAGGACTATTAAAGTTAATATATGCAGATAAAAACATACAGAATAACTTCGTACCGGTTGATACCTTCAGCAAATCTGCCATTGTTGCATCATGGAAATGTGGAGTGAGAAAGACGTAAGTTCCATTTTATTATATGATATTAAGCGAGGATCAGAAGAATCGTTAAAATTTTTGAAGGGAAAAGTAACGGAATATACAGGGAGTCCCATTTTAAATCCCCTAGGCAAATATCTTGAAAAAGATGGAAGATACGGAGAAATGTTTCAGACAAAAGTTGTATGGTTTCAAGGAGGACATATAACAATTATTTCAATTTGTTCACAGACAGCGCCATTTTCGAGATATTTACTGATCATTATTTTCCTTAAGTAGAAACCCCAATTTTTTATTACACTATTTTTTTCTACCAATTAATTTGAACAACTTTTATCTGAAACATTTTTGTATTTTTTTGTAATACTTTTTGAGATATTTAAGGAAAATCTTAGTAACTTTTCAATATTTAACTCATGATACCTCGCTAACTATTTATCGGAAGAAAAAGTACTAGACTTTTCTATTCTATTTAATATCAAGAATATATTGTTATAATAGCGCCCTGACTTTCGTTAACTTACTAACTTTTGGGAATTTCAAAATCAGATTAACAAAAGTCAGGGCGCTATTGTAACAATATACATATTATTGAGACCAAGTAGAGCAAAAAAATCTAGTACTACTTTTTCTTCCGACAAATGGCGAGGTATCGTAAGATAAATATTGAAAAGTTATCAAGTTTTCCTTAAATATCTCAAAAAATGTTAGGCAAATAAAAAAATGTTTCAGACAAAAGTTGTTAAAATTAATTGGTAGACAAAGATGATGTAATAAAAAATGGGGATTTCCATTTAAGAAAAGTAATGATCAGTAAATCTCGAAAATGGTGCCATTTGTAAAAGGGTAAAATAGTAAAAAACTTTTTGGTTTAGAATGACCTAATTTACAATTATATGACAGTTATTGTAACGACAGTTTCCAGATTCAGTGTTCAAAGCACAATATATTCATATCTATCGCTATACATAATAGTTGTCATATAATTGTAGATTAAGTCATTCTAAATCAAAAAGTCCTTTACCATTTTGTAAATAAGTGTCTAAATTTCCAAGTTATCAATTAAAAAACCCCTAAATGTAGTCATTTTCAGTCATTAATAACTTAATATGTATTGCGATTTTTGGAAAATGGTATATAACTTTTTTTCTCAATTTGGTATGGTCAATTTTCACAATTTTTCATTTCATTTATGTACTGGTTATTCTCATTCAGTACATAAGAATATAACGAGTTGTTTCGAATTCTTTACAGAAACATGAGGATCAATCTTCCACTTGTATACAATTGCGCGATATCTCGTTATAGATGTCCAATATATGAAGACCTAGTAAATTTCTGCCAGAATTGTGTAAAAAGAATTCCTTTGGAAAATCCACTTTGGTATCCTCAAGTGTATTTCATAAAGAACCTGTACATCTACAACCTGTTGTTTATATTGTTCCAAATAATACCTTTCTGGTTCATTGATGAGCTCCTACGATTATCAGGCAGACAACCAAGGTAAGATGTTAATTTTTCTCTCGATTAGTCGATTGTGCAAACATATGTAATCGTGTATTCACTATTGGAGCAAAAGGTAAAATCTTCTGAGACGATTTATACGAGATACGTATGTATACAAAGTATCCCACTGTAAACAGTCGGTCCGAATATCTCGAAAACTTAAAAGAACTGCAGTGTCAATTGGTTTGCTAAATTTTGTTCCGAGGATTTTTTACTCAAACGTGAACAACGCTCTGGTCGTCTAGGTGAAGTTAATAACAACCAATTCAAAATAATAATCGATGCAGATCGTTATAGCACAACACGTGTGATTGCAGAGAAGTTCGATATATCACATGCATTGAAAAGCGTTTAAAACAACTTGGCTACGTAAAAACACTCGATTTATAGGTTCCTTATGAACTTAAAGAAATTTACTTATCACAATACATTGCCATCTGCTCTTTGTTTATGAAACGTAACGAAAATGATCCATTTTTGAAATGATTGATAAATAGCGATGAAAAATGGGTTGATTACAACAATATCAACCGGAAAAATCGTGGAGCAAACAAGATGAACCAACGCAAACAACATCCAAAGCTGATATTCATCAAAAGAAAGTTATATTATCAGTTTGGTGGGATTGCAAAGGAATTGACTATTTTGAAGTATTACCACGCAACCAAACGATCAATTCAGATGTATACATTCAACAACTAACCAAACTGAACAACGCAATTCAAGAAAAGCAACCAGAATTGGCAAATCCAAAAGTTATTGTGTTCTACTATGAGAATGCAAGGCCACACACTTTGGTCACTCGGCAAAAATTATTGAAGCTTGGTTGGGATATGTTGCCACATCCACCATATAGTCCTGACCTTGCACCATTAAATTATTATTTATTTGTTCTTTGCAAAACTTCTTGAATGGGAAAATTTTCAATAATGATAATGTCAAATCGCACTTGTTTTCGCTTTTTGCTTATAAAAGCCAGAAGTTTTATGAACATTGAATTATAACGATGCCTGAAAGAGAGCAAAAAGTCATTGATAAAAATAGGCAATATATAATACTGCATAAAGTTATTTCGTTATATGAAAAAATTGTCTTTTATTTTCTTAAAAAATTCGCAATTATTTAGTTGCCAAACCAATAATAATGTATTCTTGAGATCATTTAGAATAAAAAAATCTAATAACATTTTTTCTTCCAACAAATAGTTAGCGAGATATCGTAAGTTAAATATTAAAAAAATTACCAAGTTTTTCTTAAATATCTTAAAAAATATTAGGCGAATAAAATATTTCAGATAAAGTTGTTCAAATTAATTAGTAGAAACAGAAGATATAATAAAAAATTAGGGTTTCTATTTAAATAAAGTAATAAACAATGAATATCTTGAAAGTGACATCTTCTGTAAACAAGCTGATATAGTTGTTTTATGTTTCCTTTGAAACCATGCAACTTTGTTTGAAACATTTTTGTTTATCGGACTCAATTTTCGAGATATTCGGATCGACTGTTTACAATGGGACACCTTGTATACTATAGACGCCAAGATCAATTCTGAACAAGTATCGTGTTGCCCATTTGCATTTGTTGATATATTTACTATAAAAAAACAGTGATAAGAAAATTGCAAAATAATGTGTTTAAAATAACGAATATTACCCACATTTTAAGATAAAACTCAACAATTCTTTTCTCACTATTTCTTTGCAATAAACACGTATACTTACTGCGTAGATAACATGATTTTTTACTAAATTGATTCGACCTTCTTTAAATCACAGGTTGATGGCATTGCAGAGGAAAATTTTTATAAATAATTACGTTTTGGCACATTTCACACTAAACAGTTGGGACATACGAAATGAAAGGGCGATAAGTCTGTCTGATGAAATACCAAACGATCAACAAGAATTTGAATATGGAACGGTCCTCTCTGAAGGACTTAACGTAATAACATATTTTGAGTAAGTGACACACCTGTTTTATTTACTAATTATAAAATGTCACACATAGGTGTTTACTAGTAGATAAATGAAACTATTTATTTTTATCGTATCTTTCATAGAAACTGTATAATTGGATGTAAAACATATCTTCTGAATGAACGTATGGATCATTTGGACAAAGCAAAATCGCAGTTTAACAGGTAAAAACCCAGATTTTATTGCATTTTTTATTGCAAAGTGATCTGAAATTTACATTATTCTGACTATTGATCGAATATCTTTTACGATCTCATTTTTATAAAAGATTAACGTCTTGTTAACGTCTAAATTTTAAAGCAGAACAGCTAGCAGGTAAATTTTTTTTTAATTTCTCGATAACATATGGCAATTTTTAGATAAAAAGTTGAGTTCAACTTCATCGAGTTGTTAATGCTAGGCTGATTAAAAAACGAGTTTTTCGACAAATAAAGTTATTCGCTTCGACTCAAATTGTAAATTTCGATTATATGGTCGTTAAATATATAATAATGAACATAGTTATTTGTTTTCGGTATCATCAGAATGTATTGGATCGACATAATTGTGAAAGCCTCGTTTGTTATTTTCTTTATATGGATCATTTACAAAAACTGTGTAACTGTGTAACAAGGTAAATTGATTTTCATCAAAGTATACAATTTTCATGTACGACATTTAGCATCGAAGACTAATGTCCAAATGTCGAAATCAATTAATTATTCATTATCAATTAATTATTAAAAATAATAATTTTTATTAGCGGTTACTTATATAAAATGTCAAAGTTGACATTTGAAAAACGTTGTTTCTTGAGTCTTATAGGACATTGTATTGTATTACTTTATAATTAAATTGTAATGGGTTGAATGTTATGGGTTGAATAAAGCAAAAAGTTGTGAACATCGTCCCTCTTTTCTTATGCAAAGTCATACCATTGTACAAACATCAATCATACATTATGTATAATAAGCTTACATTTTGCATGACAGAAATGGAGAAACACAATAATGTTTGATGTGAATAAAATTCTTTCGATGCTATCTGAACGTAGTGGAGATGTACATGTTATATATAATTTATATAATGTTATATTAATTTGTGTAATGTTATATTAATGTTATTTTAAGAAATTTCAAACTCAAATTATTTCTTTTTTCAAGATATATATGTACGTAACATAAGTTTTTACAAATAAAACTTACCTAATTACAAAAACGATGCGAAGATATCAAAAATATAAAACTTACCTTTTTAAACAAAAAGGTAAAGAAGGCGCCAAGTACACGCGCAACACGTATTCTTATTTTTAGAAACTTCAAATTCAACTTATTTCTTTTTTTCAAAATATGTATGTACATAAGTTTTTACAAGTAAAACTTATAACTATAACAAACTATAATAAAACTATAATAAAACTCGATAAAAGATTATTCTACTGTACAAAAGAAGTGATATATTAAAATAATAAGTGAAGGAAACGTGTAGGATTACGACTTTTCGTGACGCAATTTAGCAATACGGGAGATGTTAACATGTTTATTCAGAAATCGTTCGTGAGTGAGATTGTATTGGACCTCAGATAAGGAGCTTATCGAGTCACCGCCCAGTAGTTACCGAGAAATGAGGTGCATTTCGAGTTGTAGGCCGTACGAGTCGAAGATTGTGACACGCCAAACGTTGGGCAAAAAGTAACATTGGGCCGTACGGGCCGGAGTTTACGTTAGGCCGAACAGGCCCGAGATTACGTTAGGCCGAGCGGGCCGGAATATACGTTAGGCCGCACGGGAGATTGATTTCATATTGTTCTAGGTTAGTTTCAGGTTATTCTAGCGAAAGATAGCGCACGAGCCAACAGGTCAGGATTGTTCATGAGCTATACAGAGCATTACAAAGAGGAAGCGATTCCTATTTTCTATACACAAAAACTGACTGACGTGTGACGGCATTACATGTTAATGAGAGGTTACATGTTAATGAGAGCACTTCGTAAGTAAGTACTTCGAGATGAAGAATTCAGAGTTGGGAAGTAACTCGTTACTTGTAACGAAGGTACAATTACAGTTACTTTTTTTTAGTAACTATAACTTAACTTCGTTCCATTTTTCATTTGTAACTGTAACTTAACTTAGTTACATTTATTTGATAACTAGTAACTAATGCAACTGGTAACTAATTTAATAGTTACTTTAATAGTTACTTTATATATTTCAAACCTAAGTTTCTGGTAGTACCACAGATATTTATAGTATAGACATCTGTGGGTAACATTATAATGCTACGTGCGATACTCGATATCTAATAAGCATTAGTTATTCTAGCTGCGTTCGGAAAGTGTGCTATTACGCCATCTTTATCATTCATTAGATGTAAAACAAAGATAAAATGACGCAATAGCGCTGATAGTCTCCTCTTCGAACGCAATCTGTATTCTTTTCAAAAAATTAAATTCCTATTAGACATTTCCGTCGCGCGTCGCCAGTCCTTAGTCATTAACATAACCTGCGTTTAGCGTGAAGTACGAGGACAGTCTGAAAAGTTGAGCCTAACATAGAAACAAGTATTTTTTCGTCAAATGTAGTTTTACTTTTCAACATAGTCTCCTTTTAAGTCGATATATTTTTCCCAGCGATGTTTTAACTTCTTTAACCCTTCCAAATAGTAGTTGGCGTCTTGCTTCGCAAAATAGGCGTTTACATATGCGATGACCTCCTCGTTCGATGAAAATCTCTGTCTTCCAAGCGAAACTTTAAACTTGGGAAAAAGGAAAAAGTTGCTGGGGGCCAGATCTGGTGAATACAGTGGGTGGTCAACCAATTCGAAGTGCAATTCGTGAATTTTGACCATGACGACCGGCGAATACGTTTTTGGTCCAAAGTGAGCAAGCGCGGCACCCAACGCGCGGATAACTAACGCATGTTCAATTCTTCAGTCAATATATGACAAACGCGCTCTTTCGATATACCCATAGCCTCTGCTATCAATCTAACCTGGATTCGACGGTCGTTCAGTACCATTTGGTGAACATTTTCAATGTTATCGCTGGTGGTCGCAATTTTTGGCCGTCCCGAATGTTCATCATCAGCCAAGCTGGTACGACCACGTTTAAATTCAGCTGTCCATCTTTTCACGGTGGCAAATGATGGGACAGAGTCCCCGTAAACAGCGCCCAACTCGGTTTTTATTTGCACAGGCGTATTGCCTTTCGAATGCAAGAATTTAATCACGGCACGATATTCGATTTTTTATATTTTTACAAAAACACTGAAATCGACTGACATAAATGACTGTCAAACAATAACTGAGCGTCCAAAATGGCTGAAATTTTCACAGTCATCTTTCAAAGTATATACCATTGTAGTACCAGAATGGTACTTGACGAGTAGAGTCATACCAGGTGTGTCGGTAATTCCTTTCCCGTTTTTTCGCTAAAGAAAACACGTTATTCACAATGGATAGTTAAAATATATTTATTCAAAGTATTGGCCATTTGATTCTATACATTTTGCCCATCTCTCAGGCAATTTATGGATGCCATTCCAAAAGAACTGTTTCTCCTTTGAGCTAAACCATTCATCGAGCCATTTTTTAACTTCTTCGAAATCGGCGAAGTACTGCTCTGCAAGCGCGTGCCCCATCGATGCGAAAAGGTGGTAGTCGGATGGAGCCAGGTCTGGAGAGTACGGCGGGTGCGATAAAACTTCCCATCCAAGTGATTTCAACACTTCTTTGACTGGTTTTACTGTATGAGACGGCGTGTTGTCATGCTGCAAAATCACCTTATCATGTCTTTGAGCGTATTGTGACGCTTTTCGACGTTTTTCGATCAATGCACAGTTCAAATTGATCATTTGTTATTGGTAGCGATCAGTATTAACTGTTTCTCCAGGTTTCAACAGTTCATAATATACGATACCAACCTGATCCCACCAGACACAGAGCATGGTCTTGCGACCAAAGCGATTTGGCCTTGCAGTCGATGGGCCGCCTTCGCCAGGTGATAACCATTATTTTTTTCGCTTGGGATTTTCGAAATAAATCCATTTTTCATAACCCGTTACTATTCGATGCAGAAATGACTTCCTTTCATACTTTTGAAGCAGCATTTCACTGACGATTTTTCGATTTTCCAATTGCCTGTCATTCAATTCATGTGGCACTCATCTTCCCATCTTTTGGATCTTTCCCATCGCTTGTAATCGTTCACAAATTGCTACTCGGCTCACATTCAACTTTTCTGCCAATTGTTTTCATGTTGAGGCTCAAAACTTTTCAGATTGCCCTCGTACACTGCGTGGTTCCAGTTACTTAAAAATTGAAGCAATGGATAAGACATCGCAATCATTAGAAAAAGATCTTAAAATGCCATGGTCAGCATATGCGGAAGTATTCGAAGTATTATTCATTATTCAATATATTTATAATAAAGTAACATTGTAATATATAACATTTTATATTCATAATAAAGTATAATTAACTAAGGTATAATTTAAATTAATTTTGAAATTTACACAATTACGAAATTTAAAATAATAGCACATTTATTATAGAAAAGTAACTGAAAAGTAACGACTCTTTACTTTTTAAGTAACTGTAACTCAAACATGTTACATGTGTACTTTTGAAAGTCAGTAACTTGTAACTGTAACTAGTTACTTTCACGAAGTAACTTTCCCAACCCTGGAAGAATTTATATGAGATACATTACATGAAATGAAAAAAATTCTGAAGAAAGGGAAATGGATTCCCCATGAATTATCCGAGAACGTTATTGCCAGCTGAGTCACCATTTGTCTTTTGTTGCTCAATAGACCTAAACACAAGTCTTTCTTGTATCGAATTGTGACTGGAGACAAAAAATGGATTTATTATGACAGTCCCATCTCAAAAGATCATGTGTAGATCCATAGATCGGCGACGATCATCCCGGGTTCCCGGAGAACCCTCTACGTTCCACTCAAACGAAATATCCCATGGTCACAAGGTCCTCCTATGTATTTGGTGAGACATGCAAAGAGTGATGTGTTATGAGCTGTTAAAACCATTCCAGACTATCATCGCGGAATTATACAGTCGATAATTAAAGCAGTCGAATGAGCAATTGATCGAGAAACGGCCATATTTTGCGATAAAACAAAATAAAATGATTTCTCTGTACGACAATGCCAAGTTCCATATTGCACTGACGACCTGGGAAACTTTAATGGAATTGCAATAGAAAGTCCTATCATACCCGGCATATTCTCCACATATTGTTCTATCGGATTTTCAGTTATTTCGTTCTATACAACACGATCATTCCAATATACAATTTCGCAATGTTGAGGAAGTATCACAATTCATCGATTCTATACAACACGGTCTTTCCAATATACGATTTCGCAATGTTGAGGAAGTATCACAATTCGTCGATTCAACTTCATTCATTCTAAGCATAAAGACTTCTTTGATCGTATTCATCTTTTGCCTGAAAGATGGCAAAAAGTAGTAGATAATGCCGGAAGATATTTTGATTGGAAACACTCTGTCATTTATAATAATATTAATAAAAAATATTGCCTTAGAAGCGCTGGAAACTTTTGCATATCCCTAATATAATCATATACAGGGTGTCCGGTAATTAGCTGCCAATCCGAAAATTCAACCTGAAGGTAGATTGGGTTAAGCTGAAAAGAAAAAAAAGCACAATTTTGCGAAAATCGCAATAATTATCGAGATATTAATAATAGAAATCTGACAAATGAGTGCGCGCTGAAATGGATGATCGAAGGAGCGTTGCA